TAGTTTTTAGTTTTATCCATATTGCAGTTTTCATTCAATTCGATCAATGGACTAGTAGTTAGTAATTTCTTTTGCTCATCAATCAATCGGAGGAGGAGGAATATAAATACACATATGATGGCGACACTGGTTGGATTGGGAACAACAATTGGGGAGGTTGCTCCGCCCCTATTCCGCCGGAGTTATTTTCCTTACTGTAGGCGTAACAGTTACATCTGCATTTCCCGGTGGCCGCGAAGGACTTTCTCAGTCTCCGCATCATCATTGGAACCCATGAAGGTCGATGGAGAAGTTCGAGTTCGATTCGCCCCTTCACCTACTGGTAATCTCCATGTCGGAGGTGCCAGAACTGCTCTCTTCAATTACCTCTTCGCTAGGTTCGTTTCGTTTCGTTTCCTTTCCTTTTCGATTCATTCTACTTCGTATTTTTTTTAACAAAGCAAGCGGCAATAATTTTATTGATGGCAAAAGATTCAAATACAATCAAATTCAGTCAGTTCTATGACCCGAGAAGGGAAATTTGATTCCCAGATCCCATGCTCCTTGTATTGCATGGCTATTTGACTCAAATAATGAACACCTTGATTGCATTTCATTTTCTCCTCACCCAAGTAACTGAGTAACGAGTCCGAACCTGCAACAAAAGCTTTATATCTTCCCAAATCACTGCTACAATCAATTTCCTGAGGATTTGAAATAGTATCTCCTTCAAATATGGTATCATTCAACTCCAAATTTGTAGCCCACTTAATTGCATATCTGGCCGCTAAGAATTCAGCAGCAGATTGAGTGACTTGGAAAATAACATATAGCTGCCTTCAAAACCATTCCCGAATGATTTCTAATGATTGTTACCCCAGTAGCTTCCTTAGATGAGCTTTGATAGGACGCATTATTGTTTACTTTTAACACACCAATTGCTGGGGAACACCACATTACTTGAGTGTTACAGTGCATATCAGTAGTCTCGAGGACTGAGAGTAATAGAGGTCTTCAATTATTCCCAGCTGTGAATCACCATTGAGACCACTTCAAGTTCAGTCTGTGCTCTGCCTTCAAACATCATTAAGTTTCTGCTCTTCCATAAATGCCAACAAAGATACACGAACATACTTAGAACATCATCTTTGTCTTCCAAACAATTCCACTGGTCTAGCAACTCTTTAAACCACTGACTCCATGACTGCCCATGAACTTCATCCACTCTCAACCGAAGAAGAGAGAGTCTCCAAAATTTCATTGCCCAAGAACATTTAAAGAAAATGTGTTCAATTGATTCCATATCTAGATCACATCTCAAAATTTGGGATAAAATCATCCATCATTTTGCTCCTTGGACATTGCTGCTCAAAATGATGGATGATTTCTCAAAATTGACCTGTTGACCTGTAACTTGATTGTAAACTCTCAAAATGTGCTTCAGCTCCTCCAATTCCAATTGGTTAGCATTACAAAAAAATAATGAATCATCAGCAAACAACATGTGAGACACAATAGGAGCTTGCCTACTAATTCTGATTCCTGAAAATCGCTTAAGTTCCACTGCTTCATGAATTAATTTTGATAAACCTTCTGAGCAAAGCAAAAAGAGGTAAGGTGACAAAGAATTACCTTGTCTAATGCCACGCGAAGGATAAAAAAGATCTCCAGGATTACCATTTAACATAATGGAGCATGAGACAGTTCAAACACATTCCATAATAACTCTAACCAATCGTCTGTCAAAACCCCAATGGATCATAGCTTTTTCAAGAAATCCCCACTCCACTGTCATATGCTTTAGCCATATCCACTTTTACAGCTGAAAATTGATGTTTCCTACCTTTTCACCATTTAAGAAAATGCCTGATTTCATGTGTAAAGTGTACATTATCTGTACTTAGTCTATTGGGGACAAATGGACTTTGTTCCTCACTTATTAACACTGACAGTTTAGGTTTAAGCCTATTTGCTAAAACCTTAGTGAAAAGACTAAGAACCACATTACGTAGGCGATAGGATAGAAATCTTAGTGGGTGAATTTGTTTTTGGAATGAGAGTAATGCGTGTAGCATTCAAACTTTTCAACAGTTTCCGACTTTAAGAGTCATTGAATGCTTTGATGATGTCTCCTTTAAGCAAATTCCAATTCTTCTGATAGAACACGGGCTGAATCCATCTGGACCTGGTGCTTTCAATGGCCCCATCTCCATGAGAGTTGTGAACATTTCCATTTTTTATGCTTCCTTTAGAAGTCCTTCATTCATTTCTGGAGTGATTTGTTAGCTCCATGGACTCCAGAAGTTCCTGTCATCTACAGTTCCAACAGATGGGAAGAGAGATTTTTAAAGATTTCCACAATAACTCTGATTTCTTCTTCATTCTCACACCATTTCCCCTAATTCTCCAGACCGCTAATTTTATTTCTTCTTCTCCTCTTTATAGTTGTAGCATGGAAAAATCTTGTATTCTTATCTCCATGTTACCAATTCACCCTTGATTTCTGACGCCAGAACAATTCTTCCTACTTCCATTCATTATCTATTCCTTTTCAAGAGTTCTATATTCCTCAGCCTGGAAACTCCCTAAATCTTCACTGAACTTTTAAAAAAAAAATTCCAGTATGCTAATGTTTTTACTAGAATTCCAGCTTTTTGTCTTACTCCACTTCTTGAGGTCTATTTTACATTGCTTGGGCTTCTCTTTCAAAACAAATTGGTAAGTACCAGATTAGTCCATATTCCATGCTTCAGAAATAACCTTGTAAAATTGTTCATCTTGTGACCACCTTGCATAAAAAAGGTTTCCTTTTTTGTACAACACGATCAAGATCTATCATTAGCACATAATGATCAGATCCCATAACTTGAAGATGATGAATCACTGCATTTTGAAACTTCCATCTCCATTCGTTTGTAGCCAATACTTGGTCTAACCTCTATTTTATATGAACCACTCCATCACGTTTCTTACACCATGTATACGGGAACCCAATGCAACCAAGATCCACCAACCTGCAACCCTCTACCATATTTCTGAAATCTTTCATTCTCCAACCCATACGGCATTGTCCTCCCAACTTCTCATCTGAGTGAAGGATATCATTAAAATCTCCAAGAAGTACCCATTTATCTGTATGTTGTTTTTGCAAATTCTGTAGATACCTCCATAGTTCCTTTCGCATCTAGTCCTCAACACTGGCATATACACACACCTGTGACATACCATTCCTAATTGTACCCTTTTCCACCAACACGGCATGTGAGTTTGAAGTTAGTTTCATCCACAACCTCCATATCTACCTCTGAATTCCACATAACTGCCGAACCACCAGACAAACCAACTGAATCTCTACAAACCATGTTGTCAAAACGGAGTGTGTGACGAAGATCTTCAAGTTTGCTTTATTCTTTGTTTAGAGCAAAAACAACAAACTTGGGGAATGTTGGACGACCAACTTCTTCAATTGACGAATCGTCAGGAGTTTCCCCACACCCTGACAATTCCAACACAAAATCTTCATCTTTGAAGTTGGGGCCACTCAAGGCTGGCTTCCTCCTGAATATGCTGGAATTCTCCTCCCAATTCCATATATAGATTTATTTTCAGTATTTTTTTCATTACAACATACTCTCTTGCTGCGTTCCACTGATGTCTCCACTGCAACTTCCACCAAAGTACCTCCTCGTCGCTTCCACGTAGAAGAAACAATCTTGTTTTAAGAGCCTTTTGGTCGTCCCGGCTTCTGATTTATAAACCATATGGTTCCATTGCCCCCTTTCTTCGTCCGCAGCCTACCCTTACCCTTACCTTCAAGATGGGAATTTGGTTCAGCAGTATTAGATTTCATCTTGTTCCCTTTCCGCGAATTTTGATTATGAACTTCCACCCCATGTGACCCATCACCAACTATAATAAATGACTCAGCATTGGGCTGTAATATTGCATTAGTTTGGGCTTTATCAAAAAGCCCACTTGTGCTTCCCACCTCAACTATCAGCCCAAAATTTTGAATTCCATCTCCAACTGTTTGTTAGTTGTGTCTCCTAAAATTACTCCGTTGTCACTCCTATTCCAACGCTGTTGTCCATTCGTGAAATTCTCCAAAGGTTTGTAATGCTCCACCAAATTTGGGATAATGTCTACCCTCCCCTGAAATTCAGCATAATTAGAAATTTCAAAATTCAAATTAGTAGAGTCGTTGTCGCCGGCCACCAGAATTGGATCGGAAGGATTTGTCGTCGGCATTGTAGTACAAGTATCAGTTTGATTACCACCCCCACGTTGTTGCCATAGATGTCCCATTGAACCCTCTGATCGAAGCCAAGGCCATATTGGCACTCAGATCGTGACAAGGGGCCTCTCATACCAGACCTTGATTCGTGATCCACCATTCCACATTTAAAACAAATTGAAGGTAATCGTTCAAATATGAACGTAGCCCATACCTCCTTTTGATTGTGAAATAGTTTAATTCCTCTGTGAAATGGTTTCAATACATCCACAGAGACTTTGATACGAATGTCAAGCCTTGATCTCATCTTCCGTCAATTCAAAATGTTGAAATATATAAATATTTCTATATAATTGTGGAGCAAAATCATCCACCAATCATGGTGATCCGGTCAATTTCATTCCAACTATAAATATTTCTATATAACGGTGGAGCGAAATCCTCCACCAATCACAATGCCTCCTTTGACTATTATTGTACACCTTCCATATTTTCTTATCTTTATCGTGCCTATATATAGGCTCTTTGTACTCAAGCAAAATATATCTGAATAATAAAAATGTAGTCCTTAGTGGTTCTTTGTCCATGGATGTAGTCCTTAGTGCTGAACCATATATATGTCTGTGTTCTCCATCTTTCTCTCTTCCTTTTTCCTATTTGCATTTCATATTTCCGCTTACAAATTTAACATGGTATCAAAGCCTAGATGTTCTTGTAATCTCATCTAGAATTTGAGGGAGAGTATTGTTATTATTATTATAGAGGATATTCTCTATATCTTCACATTCCTTTCCCGGCGAGTTCCGGTTGGTTTTTCCGGCATAGTTCCGGTTCGTTTTTCGGATGGTTCAGCACCTCAGCATTCCCCGATGTTGTTCCGGCCCATTTCCCGGCTTAGTTCCGGTCATTTTCTGGCGTTGTTTCGGCAATTTCTCGGATTAGTTCCGGTCATTTCCCAGCTTAGTTCTGGCCATTTTCCCGACTTAGTTCCGGTCATTTTCCTGGCTTAGTTCTGGCTTTTCCTAGCGTTGTTCCGGCCTTTTCCCGGCTTAGTTCTGGCCAATTTCCCCGGCGAGTTCCACTTTATTTTCTCGGCAAGATCTGGTCATTTTCCCCAGCAAGATCTGGTCAATTTCCTGGCTTTGTTCCGGACATCTTCTCATCGTCTTTCGAGGTGTTTCTTTAGCAAGTTGGGCATTCATGATATTCATGCTCCAACTTGGGGGGAGTGTTGAAATATATAAATATTTCTAGATAATTGTGGAGCAAAATCCTCCACCAATCATTGTGATCCGATCAATTTCCTTTCAACTATAAATATTTCTATATATCGGTGGAGCAAAATCCTCCACCAATCACGGTGCCTCCTCTGACTATTGTACACCTTTCATATTTTCTTATCTTTACCATGCCTATATATAGGTTCTTTGTACTCAAGCAAAATATATCTGAATAATAAAAATGTAGCCCTTAGTGGCTCTTTGTCCATGGATGTAGGCCTTAGTGCCGAACCATGTATATGTCTGCGTTCTCCATCTTTCTTTCTTCCCTTTTCCTATTTGCATTTCTTATTTCCACATCCAAATTTAACACAAAATTCTTCAACTGATGGACTTATTCTTCCTCCATAAGACGATTCACTATGGAAATCTCTGTAATCTTAAAATATATTAAGAATAAATAAGAAAGAAATGAACAAAGCAAAAGAGAAATTGAGCGGAAATCGCTAAGGCAAAAGCTGCAAAAAAACCCTGAAAGTGTATGTTGAAACCCTCTAGTGATGAGACAGTAAGGGATGAAAATTATAATGAGGTACATGACTTCGCATTGTAGCTAAACCAAATATTTCAAATTATTCATACATTACTCATGTTAGAATTAAATCGTGTTTTTTTCCCCTTTTTTGTATTTCCTTATTCTCCTTCTTGTTAGGTCTAAAGGTGGAAAGTTTATTCTTCGAATTGAAGACACTGATTTAGAGAGATCCACAAAGGAATCTGAAGAGGCCTTGCTACAAGATCTTTCTTGGCTTGGTCTTCACTGGAATGAAGGTAATACCATTCTTTTCCACTTCGCCCAGATCATTGTTAGTTTTGTAATGTGTGATGTATGTGGTTAAAGTTTGAAATCTGAATCCATGCTTCAACTATCTATTATATTGTTGCTTAGGTAAATTTTATAAGGTTTTCTGGTAGTTTGTTCATTGTGCAGAATTGGATTTAATTTTGAAATTATAATTTGTGGAAAATGTTGTTATTTAATGGGCAGAACTGTAGTTACAAAATCTTGGTCATGAATCACATCCCATATCCATTGGTATATAAAACAACCATATCTTGGAAAACAATTTGGGGCCTCTTATCCAATTTAAAATTCCCTACTCCTTGATTTAAAAATGTCTTTGTTCCTGATTCATTATGAAATTTGCTTCAAGATCATTTGATTTTATCTACTCTGTATGTTTCAAATTCTTGTGGCATACTTCAGCTGGCAAGTTCGGCATCACTCCTTTACCTTGTTATTTGTGTATTTATTCGTTATATTTATGCATTAAAGTTGTCAAACTCCTCATTTACATTCAGCAAAATGCTTATCTCGTTTAGATTCGTTGTTTTGCTTGACGTTCTCACCCTTCTTCTTCAGTAAACCAGTAATCTTAGAGTGATCATACACAATCCATGGCCGCAAGGAAAAAAATTGAAGAGAAGCACATACTATGATTGTTCTTTTTAAATGCCAGTTGCTTTAAAATTTCGATTTTTTTTGCCAAATTTCCAGGAATCCCTTGTTTTCAGTTAAGTAAGTTCTCTAAGTTTAATAAATGATATGACCTTCAACTCCAATAGAAGTGAGTGGCAAATGGTGGTTGTGGTCTACTAAAGATGCCAGTTGGACAAAACAGTGAATCATATTTGGCGGCTCAAATATAATTTTGCTGATTCCTCCATTTGATTGTCTAATTATGTGCTTGTTTTCCATATTCCAGTTTAAGTGATTCCCTTCAATCATTGTAATGCATGAAATATCTAAGGAATTATATTGATGATGGAATGTGGTAAATATATAGGCCCTGGTGTTGGCGGAGACTATGGACCATATTGGCAATCTGAAAGAAATACTTTGTACAAGCAATATGTAGAGAAGCTTGTAGATGCTGGCCACGCTTATCGTTGCTTTTGTTCTAGTGAGGTAATTTTGTTTAATCTTCAAACTTCTTCTTTCGTGATATTTGTTCTCATAATTTGATGCTTTGAATGGAAAAATTGACATTCTAATGAGGTAATTGTCTTTGAACCTCAAAACTATTTTTCCCATGATGTTTGATCTCATAATTTAATTCTTTGAAAGAAAAGATTTGACATTTTAATGATGACAAATCAAACAAGACTTTGGATAATTTATTATATATGCACTTGTTTATTGCTGGAAATGGGATTTCTTGGCCATACTACATGGTGTGGGATGACACTTTGAACTCTCAGGTTCCAGATTCTTTTGTGAAATTTTCAAAGTCAAAATGCTTTATGTGGTAAATTATTTGAATTGGGAAGGCAAGGGTATGTACCCAAGCCCGTATTCTCTAAACAGCCTGCAATAATGAATTAAACTTCGCCTGGGATAGCACTCTCAACGTTGTCTCTTACCTTTACTTCCTTGGTTTTATGGTGGGCTTTCCACTATAGGGCACGACATGGTTTTTTTCAGGAATGCTAGATGTGATTTAAGTGAATTGATTTCTAGAGATTGCTTTGCTGCAGGGGTACTCAACCAATTTGTTTTTCGCTAAACCTTTCTTTGGGATATCAAAATTTAGGTTGAAAATGATTTTCAATTATGTTGCGTTTGGGATCACTGAATCGGTGCTGCCAAACACAGCTTTAAGGTTGTTTACAATCATGAGAGATTAAAATCTGAGAGCCAATCACTTTGGTGCTAGGAATTGAGAGTTTTTTTTATGGATATTGTATTTGCGAAGGAGAGTTGAACTTAATGGGCATCTTTCTCAATTCTCATTTATTATTCTTTGGCCCTCGAGCTATAATCTTGTAATTTATTCTTGGGATTCACTTGTCTTGCCTTTCACTATGGCTGGTCTCATTCATCACCTTATTATTTGCACGCTGCTTCACTCTTTTATATGGCGCATTTGTAAGTAGCAAAATAAGAGGATTTTTGACAATTTTGAACCCTCAGCTCAAACTGAAGTCCGTCATGTACTTATTTTTGTGGGTTTCTGCTAACAAAGGTAGTTGAGTGCCAGTATCTGTAGGTCCGACCTTTCCTCCAACCTACCCTCCCAATAAAAAAATAAGAAGGAAAAAGAAGGAATAAAAAAAAGATAAAGAAAGAAAAGGGAATTGAGTTGTCTTATTTTTGTTCAGATGTGTAAACTATGTCACGTTGCACTTGCACACATATAGAGGCACATGAGTTGCGAAAGTGCAAGCATGTTTCATCAACATGGAAGCATGGATGATTCTTCTGTGATGCATTTCTGAAACTCTGTACAATAAAGTAGTTAAAAAGATGATGTTGGCATATGGATTTTATAAACCTTGTAAGCTAGCATCTTTTGTTACAACATTGGCCTTTTCTTACTTCACTAGAATAATTTTCAGTAATTCTGCATAGTAATTCTCATTTACTATTATCTTTTTGATATTTTCTTTTTAGTTTCCTTTTGGTGGGTGGAGATGTTGTACTTATAGGAGGCTTTTATTATTACTTGTATAGGAATTAGAAAAAATGAAGGAGATTGCAAAGTTAAAGCAACTACCTCCTGTGTACAGTGGAAAGTGGGCCAATGCCACAGATGAAGAAGTACAAGAAGAGCTGGAGAAGGGAACACCATTTACATATAGATTCCGTGTGCCTAAGCAAGGGAGTCTGAAAATTGATGACCTCATCCGAGGCGAAGTAAGTTCTGTTTTTGAATTCATTTTGCTGCTGTAGACTTCGATGCTAGTTGCTTTCCAGTGATATTTGTTAGAATAGTTATATATTTATGTTGGGCCAAATATGTAATTACTTATAGTTGTCAGGGCCATTATGTAGATAGCCCATTCTTGTACTTGTATATAGCTTCATTTTGTTCTAGGGTTAAGATAATGTGAAGTGGCCACCACATATTCTTTTTCTTCTCTATTTCACATGGTATTAGAGCGGCTGATCCATCCATAGTCATTTCCGTGAGTTGTGGTCAAAGTGAATGGATGGTGGATCTGCAGAGGTGGTCATCCGTAAAGCTCCATCGTCATCCGCGAAGTTGCATTGTCGCGAACCAGCATCGCGAACCCATTCTTCACTGTCGCCGGAATTTTCATGGAGTTTTCATCATCTACCCTGTGTTGGTTGGTTTAAGTTGTGGTCGATCTTGTCGCCGTGTGTTGCGGTTGTGTCGCTGTGCCTTGCCTTTGTTTTTTGTTGGTCAGAGCTTTGCCGACAGTACGTGTCAGTGGTTGGAGTTTCGCCATCGCTGTCCGTGCCGTCATCACAGGTGTTTGCCGTCGGTGCTTCCGGTGAGTTTTTGAGGAAGACGGGATGTTTGGCTACGGGAGTGTGGTAACCCAAACCAGTTTTTTCTCAAACTGGTTTTGCAGTGACCCGGTTCAAATTCGATCAGGTTCGGAAACCATTTTTGGATCTGACCCATTTTCAGGTGCGACTCCTTTACGTGCTAATCTTCATCATCATCCGGGCCTTCTTCAGAATTCAGATTCTTTATCATCAAACCGAATTGGTTTATTGGTACTGTGCTGGAATTCAAAGATTATTGGTCTCTCAATTGCTGCTGCTTCATTATTTTTTTTCCATCCAAAGTTGATGTGGAGTGCTTGCTTTGAGTATTGGGCTGATTTGTTTTTGCTTCTTTGGATCCAGTTGTCTGCACTAGAGTTCTGAATCTTCTCTTGGTGCAGTAAGTTTCTTTTCTCTCTGGTTTGGAGATTGACTTGCTGAACTTTTTTTTTTGATAAGTAAGATTGACTTGCTGAACTTGAACAGTGTTGCTCCAATTTTGTTAAATTGGAGTCTTTGGACCGCATCTTATATGGTTCTTTAATTGTATCTTTACAAAAAATAAATAAAAAAAAAAATTCTAAATTTGGTTCTAGCTCCGAAACCGGGAGCTGAAGGATCAAAATATCAAAACCTCGCAGAGAGCTTCTAGCTCCGAAATCGGGAGCTGAAGGATCAAAATATCAGAACCTCTCAGAATGCTCTCTGTTTTTTTTTTTATTTTATTTTTTTATTTTAACAATGTCAGACTCTTCTGGCAGTGATAGTGTCACGATATCCCGAGCCAAGTTCGATGCCTTGGTCAACCAGGTACAACAAAACTCTATTGACAGTGTAGTTTCCTTTGCCCAGTTAGGTAATATTACATGTTTTTCGGACTTACAGTCCTCTTCTTCAACTTGGGTTCTTGATTCTGGGGCATCAACTCATCGTACAGGTATTGAATCTCTGTTTTCTCAATTACACAAATCCAATTCCACATTGTTACTTTGGCCGATGGTAGAACTTGTCCTATTATTGGTCAAGGTACAATTAGGCCAACCCCTTCTATTTCGTTACCTAATGTGCAACTGGTACCTTGGTTTCCTTTTAATTTATTATCTGTGAGTAAGATGACTCAAGCACTTAATTGTTCTATGACTTTTTATCCTTCATTTTGTGCCTTCAAGACCTCAAAATGAAGATGACAATCGGTGCTGGCATTGCGAAAAATGGTCTCTATTACTTGGATTGTGAGTCGTTTACTAGTGGTACGGCTCTCCATTCACGAGTCTCTGCCCACCAATGGCATTATCGGTAGGGTCATCCCTCATTGAGGTACCTGAAATCTGCACTACCTTTTCTTGAGTTTGTGTCTAATTTAGACTGTAAGTCGTGTCATTTAGGCAAGCATCATAGAGTATCTTTTCCTCCTCGTGTCGATAATTGTCGGTCTTCTCTTTTTGAATTGGTGCATACTGATATATGGGGTCCTGCTCATTATACCAGTCTCTTAGGTTTTTAATATTTTGTTACCTTTGTTGATGACTATTCTAGGATGACTTGGTTGTTTTTAATGAAAGATCATTCCGAACTTTTTTCTATATTTCAATTATTTTTTAAAGAAATTGAAGTCCAGTTTGGATGTGCTATATAGGCCTTACAATTTGATAATGCTATGGAATATGTCAAAGGTGTTATTTCAGAATTTTGCGACTCTCGTGGTATTTTGCACCAAACTTTTTGTTCTTATACTCAACAAAATGGCGTAGCAGAATGGAAAAATAGACATTTAATTGAAATAGCTCGAACTTTAATGATCCATATGCATTTTGGGGAGATGTTGTTTTAACTGATTGCTACTTAATTAATCGTATACCATCTTCTGTTCTTCACTGGAAATGTTCTTATTCTATTGTTTTTCCTACTCGTTCGTTATTTGCATTGACTCGTGTTTTTGGTTGTGTGCGCTTTGCTCATATATTACATCCTGGCACTGATAAATTGTCTCCTCGTGCCATTAAATGTGTCTTTATTGGTTACTCTCGAACTCAAAAGAGTTATAAATGTTGGGATCCTAGCACTCGTAGTGCTTTTGTGTGTATAAATGTCACATTTTTTTGAGGACACTCCTTACTTTTCTTCACGGGGTTCGTCTTTAGCTATTGATTTGTTGCTTTCGTTGCCTATTGTGCCTACTTTAACTAAGTCTGTCACAATGCAGCCACTTCAAGTGTATAATCGACGACCACAGGAAGCATCCCACCAATTGTCTACTTCTATTGAGGTTCCTCCTCCTGCTGATGATCTTTCTATTGCCTTGCGTAAGGCTACTTGCTTCTGTGTTACTGCACATCCCATTTCTACCTTTGTCTCCTATACTCATGTTTCACCCTCTTTATCTTGTTTTTAATCCAAATTGTCTGCTACTTTTGTTCCCACTTTTGTTCCCAAGACTTTGCAAGATGCTCTTTCTAATTCAGATTGGCGCAAAGCAATGATAGATGAAATGGATGCCTGTCATCGTAATGGGATATGGGATCTTGTTCCCTTACCTACTGATTCCAAACCATTTGGTTGTAAGTGGGTTTACACTGTCAAATACCTTCATGATGGGTCAATTGAGCGTTTAAAGGCTCGTCTTGTTGCAAAAGGGTACACCAGGCTTATGATGTTGATTATGATGAGACATTTTCCCCTGTTGCGAAGATTCCTTTTATACGAGTCCTTATTTTCATTGATGCAATCGTAGCTGGCCATTGTTTTAATTAGATGTGAAAAATGCCTTCTTAAATGGTGACTTAGCTGAAAAAGTTTATATGGAGCAACCACTTGGGTTTGTTGCTCAGGGAGAGCATCGTCATTCTGTTTGTCGCCTTAGGAAGACCCTGTACGGATTGAAACAATCTCTAAGGGCTTGGTTTGGAAAATTCTGTGAGGCAGCATTAGCATTTGGTCTTAGCAGAGATCATTCGATTTTTCACCAGCACACTAAAGTTGGTTTCATTTATCTTGTTGTGTGTGTAAATGATATTGTGATCACAGGTAATGATTCTGAAGGCATTGCTAAGTTGAAGTTGTTTCTGCAAAATCGGTTTCAAACTATAGAGTTAGATGAACTCACATATTTCTTGGGTATTGAAGTTGCTAGATCCAAGGAAGGTATAAAGTTTATCTCAGAAGAAATATGTGTTGGACTTATTAGAAGAAACAGGGATGTTAGGTAGTTGTCTGGTTAATGCTCCTATGGATCCAAATACAAAACTCTTGTCTGATGAGAGTGATCTATTTAATGACCCTGGCAGACATCGATGCCTTGTTGGGAAATTAATTTATCTCACTATCACTCGGCCTGATATTTCATATGCAGTGACTGTCGTAAGTCAGTTCATGCAAGCTCCTAGGATGCCACATTGGAATGCTGTTCTTCGGATTATCCGATACCTTAAACAAGATCCAAGATTTGGGTTGTTGTATAAATCAAATGGACATCTCAGGGTGGAAGGTTTTACAGATGTCGACTGGGCTGGTTGTTCCTTAGATAGGAGATCTACTACAGGCTACTGCATATTTGTAGGAGGGAATCTTGTTACATAGAGAAGTAAAAAGCAAACGGTGGTAGCACTGTCTAGTGCTGAAGCGGAGTATAGGGCCATGACTCATACCTCTAGTGAGTTGACATGGCTACAACATTTTCTTGAGGAACTTGGGATGATTGTCAAAACTCTCATTTCGTTGTTCTGTGATAACCAAGCAGCTATTCATATTGCATCCAATCCCGTGTTTCATGAAATGACCAGACATATTGAAGTTGATTGACATTTCATTTGAGAAAAAATATTAAGCGGGAACATTTGTAATTCATTTTTGAAATCTGAATATCAACTAGGGGATATGTTTACCAAAGCTCTTGGTCATAATCGGTTAAAAACTATTTACTCCAAGTTGGGATTATATGATATATAGTCTCCAGCTTGAGGGGGAGTGTTAGAATAGTTATATATTTATGTTGGGCCAAATATGTAATTAGTTGTTAGGGCTATTATGCAGATAGCCCATTCTTGTACTTGTATATAGCTTCATTTTGTTCTAGGGTTAGATGATGTGAAGTGGCCACCGCATATTCTTTTTCTTCTCTATTTCACAATATTTGCTGAAAAACTTCTTGTTTCGCAATTGTTGGGCTGATATATTTCCTAGACTTGACAATGATAAAAAGGAAAAAGATTGAACTTCACTCTTTTCTTTCCTCTTTTTTTTTGAAAAAAAAAAATTCAAATTTGCAACACCTAAGATTAACCTCCAAAAGATAATGCAAGATCAAGATTTTGAGTTTTTCTCTTTCTTTTTATTTTTTGGTCGACAGCAGAGGGGGATTTTACAAATAGACCCAAGAATGTTTCTTTTGTTCTTTTCCCCCAAATAATCAGTCTGTTCTGTTTGTTTGACAATATTTTTAGTGGATCTGGCTTCTATTCTAGCTCAGTTTAATCTGTTAGAAACCAGTGAAAACTAGAGAATACCCATTCCTTTGACATAGCTAACACATTTTGCTTGTAGTCCTAAAGCTAGATATCTTGATTTTTTTTGTTGGGTGGTTGGGTGGGGTGGGGGTTAGGGAAGGCAAAATACTCCACCACTTTGGGTTCCCCTCCCGTTTAGAATAGTTATGGGGGTGGTTAAATAGTTTTGGGGCGGGGATGGGGGTTAGGATTGAAAACTGCATGGTTATGGGGCGGGGATGGGGAAAGGTCACCCACTCGCCCGTTTATAATGATAAATTACAATTTTGTCCTTGTACTTTATTTTATATACAATAATATTAGGTATATATTAAGCAAATCCTAATTTATTCTATTCCAATCACTAAATATCCTTTTGTATTATTCTTATTGAACTTCTATGTATTATTTTGATGTTCCTACAATAATTAAGTCTTGAGTTCCTGAGAAGTTCAATCTTGTTTTTATTTACCATAGTTGAAAATTTGTTTCATTATTTACTTTCGTTAGATTTGTAATACAATTATGAAAGTGCTCTACAAAACCCATCCCCTCCCCCACCCCGTTTAATAAACGGTTTTGGACGGGGATGGGGTTAGCTATGCTATATGGGGATGACGTTCCCTGCTCCTTGCCATCCCTAGTTTTTAAGAATAAAGTTCAATACATGTGTTGCTCATAGACAATCTTTGAGCAAAATGGGTGACCTCTATTGAGGAAATAATGGATAGATGCAGGTAGTTCTATAAATTTAATTTTCATTTCAACTGGTTCAGAAGTGAGGTCACTAACTGCAAAGGTGAATTAGGCATGCTTTGGTGTGACAGTTGTTTACATGGATTAACATCTCATCAAATGATTCTTAATTTGTATAGATTGTTAATTCTGCTTGATAATGTCATGAAGGTTAGCTGGAACTTGGACACGCTCGGAGATTTTGTGATTATGAGAAGTAATGGACAACCTGTTTATAATTTTTGTGTCACAGTTGATGATGCTACCATGGGTATTTCACATGTTATAAGGTAAAGTTTGTTCTTTCTACCATTTGTTGTGATCAGCTTTTGCTAGTCCAAGTGTTTCACTATTTTGCTACCAATCTCTTTACATTGTTCCTTCATCATACTCGCTCATTATTTTTCTCAAAACTTTTTTTCAGAGCAGAAGAGCATTTGCCAAATACTTTAAGGCAAGCCTTAATATATAAGGTAGGTTTAGCTTGGCGATTTGTTTCTTGTACACCCCCTCTCCCCCCCCCAAAAAAAAAAAAACCCACCACACATACACACAAATCCTCCTCCCCTCTTTGTGTGGGTTAGATGGCTTGTGTAATTTATATATTACTTTGTCACAGGCTCTCAGATTTCAGATGCCTCAATTTGCACATGTTTCTTTAATTCTTGCTCCTGATAGGAGCAAACTATCGAAAAGGCATGGTGCAACTTCAGTGGGTCAGGTATTAACAATTTTTAATCTTTTGGTGCTTACATTGGTAAAGTGAAGTTCCCTATACTTGATGGCATTACGCCACTCTCCCCTCCCACCGATGCTCAAGATCTTTCTTGTCAAGTACATAAGACCTAGATCATTAACTTCGATTATCATCTAACAGTTCAGGGAGATGGGTTATCTACCTCAGGCAATGGTAAACTACCTAGCACTGTTGGGTTGGGGCGATGGTACTGAAAATGAATTTTTCACCCTCAACCAGCTTGGTTAGTCAATTCTCCTTTGGTTATATCTTTCTCATAGAACTTGTTAATCTGCATAAGCTGATGGATAGAAGTCAAAATGTCATTGGAACTGATTTTAACCTTTTCTTGTTTTGCTTTTCCTTGTATATTTTCATGCGGTTTACAGTTGAAAAATTTTCAATTGGTCGTGTCAACAAGAGTGGAGCAATTTTTGATGTTACTAAGCTAAGGTGATTATGGCCTTCCAACTACTTTATGCCCTGACCCTTTGCCTCTGTTGCCTTTGGCAAGTGTTCCCTGATTTTATTGCTTTCTGGGGCACCTGTAGCTAGACAAAGTGTTCTGCAGTGCATGACACATTATTTGCTGGCATGTTTAGATGTGCTTGTGAATCTTATCTGATGCTTCATTACTTTCAGTTCTGATTTCGTTGATTTACTCAGGATTATGGGCATTGACAATCATGATTTAGGTTGCTTACAGTATACATGTTTGTTGGACTGCTGACGCTAGTTCCCTAATGCTTTTCTCTTACATATAAAGGTGGATGAACGGTCAGCATTTAAGATCTCTTCCATCCGAAGAGTTGACCAAACTTATTGGTGAACGCTGGAAGAGCACTGGCATCCTCACAGAATCAGAGGGGCAATTTGTAGAAGTAAGAATTCTTTCCTCCACATTCATTTGATTTGTCTTGTGATTTTGTTTCCCGAACAGAAGTTAGTTTTCTGTGCCAGTTACTTGATGGTTATATATCTTCAGCATTCGAGTATTAAAGTTGCTTTTGCTTAGTTTAAGAGCGGACTTTCACAAAGTTTTTGCTATCCAGGAATGGAAAATTTACCAGATAGTGCTTGTATCCAAAGAACTAATATAACCAATTATCATGCTGGTGAATATCCATACAATTTGTTTGGCGGCACCAAATCGGTGCTTTGGGTTTGGGATAGGAGAAAATTTGGTACAAAATTTGAACCAAATTTAGACCAATTCCAAATCCAAGGCACCGATTCGGTGCTACCAAACATAACAGTAGTGTTTTTGTTATGGGTCTACATGGACCTCGCCTAAATACAAAAAAATTGTGGCAAGTGATAAATAAACCATAAGTGGGTCTATTGTTGATTATCATTGAGAGTTGCTACTTAATCTATGGAAAAAGTGAAAAACTGTGCCAAACATGACCTCCATTTTGGTTCTTAATTTCCCTAATATACATACATTTATGATTTGCAATATCATGTAACCATGAAAGAAGATGCATGTATTTATACTCACTGGGCATTTTTTTTTTTTTAATTAAAAGGAGGCCATTGGGCTCCTCAAGGATGGGATTGACTTGATAACGGATTCAGACAAAGTACTTTCAAACTTGCTGTCTTATCCTTTGTACACTACTTTAGCAAGGTATTCCTGAACTTCTTTGTGCTAAAATTTATAGTTGCATGAGGCTCTCTGGCATCTTTTATGGGCTGTGGATTTCTTTCTTAATACCATATTTGAATATGCAGCCATATTAGTGTCAGATATTTTGTGGACTATGCTATTCAATATATGTAAGAGGCCAGCATGTACCTTTCCTGGTTGGAAGAGACCAGAAGGTGCCAGTTCCTAGTTGATTCCCTTCCACCTTTTATATCTATCATTAGAAGTAGGGTGTACAATCTTGAGATCTTGCCAGACTTAACGCTAAATGATGCTTCTTTTTGTAACTTTTTTTGAATTCAGCACAAGAATGTGAAAAGCTACCTTACCGAAAAAAGAATGTTCAAAGCTGCCATTTCTTCCAAGTGGAAATGATTTTCTTAAATTTGAATGACATAATCTAATTAAAACAAAGAAGAGATCAAGCAAACAACAAACGCTACAGGGATTTTGTTTCAGGAATTTGAAGTTTAAGTTAATGGCGCTTTGAAACGAATGGTGAAATGAACTGTCTTAAAAGTTAAAACACAAGATTCTTTTTTGATTTTGGACAAAGTCAAACTTTATGCGCAGCTTTCACTATGAAGATAACATAGAACATAACGAGCCCAGACAAAGTAGAATGCCACATTCTGCTCATACTCCAACACAGTAAACCAGCATAGCATTGACACAAGTGTTTTGTAAAAGAACTTGACATGTTGAAAAATGAGTAAAGCAATAGAAAACTGCTCATTATTTATTGGTGAGATTGAAGAAAAAGGAAAATATATCTTCATACTGATCAGAGCCAGACAATACCAAGGGCCACCACCGTTGGTGCCCTTGATCATCTGTTTTAACATTTCTGATAAATTTTATTTTTAGAAACTTTACAAACCCTGCATCATTGATAATTCTCATGTGTCTTTGGAGCAATGTGGCTTCACAAGATCCAGATCCTACTCAGGCGTCCATCAGTTTGGACCTATAAATCATCAGTCTAACCTGTTAATTTCACCTTGAAGGTTACTGAGTAAATAAGATTCTCCTAGGCCAACTCGGGAAACCAGCATAATACCAACTCAAACATTTTTGTAAAATCAACCTAAGATTTGATAGTCACTGTGGACGGGCAGCTGCCTCCCCTGACATTTTTTTTTTTTTTTTTCTTTTGATTTCATACATGTATTTTCTTATAATAGCACAAAATGCCATATGTATTTTTGTCGAAATATCACAAAATGCCCCCCTCAGTTTTGTTATTAGCCTTTGTATATATATGTGTATATACAAGCCAAGGGTTGTGCCCCTCCTGACCCAAATCCTGGCTTCACCCCCGACTTTGGATGCCTTTACCATTCGTGCAATATCTTTTGATAAAGAAATTTTATGTTGGTCACTTATACAATGGGCATCTTTACCTTCCAAAAAATGGTATATACCATATCACTCTCTATATCTTAGGGTGAAAATGAAAAATCTCTACCTGTAGGGATCAGAACCTAGAAGCCCCGAAAACCTGTCCTACCTGGATACTGCCTAAACACTGTGTTTAGTTACCTAAGAAGTTTTAGATGGTGCCCTACATGCCCTTGATAGTTTGTTCTTCATAATTTCGAAAAATAAGCTTCAAATTTTTTAAGAAACCCTGCATTATTTGTGGTTTTCATGTATTTTTGGAGCAACATAACTTCACAAATCCATATCTCATTTGAACCTCTGTCATTCTGGATTTATGGAATTATCAGTGTTTTGTGGTTGATCACTTGTCACTACTTTAATACTGAGAACTACCAAAATTCTGTTCACTACTACTCATATTTGACCCTGCCGTTCGAAATTACAACTTCTGCTTTTGTGGCCTCATCATATGGGCTATTGCATGGTGGTATTGCTAGTATTTGCTGATCAATCAAGAGGACAAAGATTCTGTATTTTATTTCATGTTAACTGGTGCAATCTTATTATATAGGTCAATTTTGAAGGTATATGTTCTTCTATTCATCAGGGTAGCACGAGCCATGAGCAAAAAATATGGAACAAGATTTGATTAAAATGATACATTTCTTTTTATTAGTAGAAAATATGGCGGTGATATAACTTGTGTGCTATCTGCAGTCCTGAAGCTAAACCCATCTTAGAAGATCGGTTTTCTGAAGTTGCAGCCAGCTTGTTAACTGCCTATGATAGTGGTGAGCTCATTGGAGCTCTAACAGAAGGCCATGCTGGTTGGCAGAAATGGGTGAAGAACCTTGGAAAATCACTTAAGCGCAAGGTTGGTTGTAACTAGATATAGATTGATTATTGATTATAAAAATCTGATATTTTTTATCCTATTCTCCTGCTGTACTAGTCAATGCAACTGAAAATTTACCCATTTCGTTGCTCATGGCAGGGAAAATCTCTATTCATGCCCCTTCGGGTGTTGCTCACAGGAAAGCTCCATGGCCCAGATATGGGTGCTAGTGTACTTTTGCTCCATAGAGCTGGAACCTGTGGTGTTGTAGCTCCTCAAGACAGTTTTGTGAGTTTAGATGGAAGGTTCAAAATACTGAGAGAAGTTGATTGGGAATCATTTAAGAAAGATAAACCTGCATTGGAATCTGCTGCCGCTGTATCTCACTGAAAATTTCCAGCGCTGTCTGATTATCGTAGAAGATGCCTCTTGTTTCTTCTCCAGAATCTTTTGATAATTTTGAATCCTTCAGAATAATATGACCATGGGTATGTCAGGAAGGATTATACACTTTAAGCAAGATCCAACTAGTGTTGTTCGTGATCGTGATGATGGGAACTTGTCACAAGTTTTGTATGTAGTACAACTTAGTGGTTTGACAAGAATGGTTTTTGTTGAAATTTTCACATCTGATAAATGTTAGGATTGAATGAACTATAACATGTCTGTGTTTATGACAAAATCAATTAGTAGTTTTTGATTTTAGTGGGCAAATTTGGTAGCATGATAACAGTTTTGAGGATTTTCCTTATTTTGTAGAATAAGATGGGTGAATTGAGTTGCACACAACTGCATCTGCTATTTCTTAATACAACAATAATATTTGAATACCAGATGAAGCTTTAAGGTATATATAAAAGTGTTGTTTCTTTATATGCATTAAATAACAGTAATTACACAGTTTTACAACAGAAAATAACATATTTAAAGCACTTAACCGAAAAAAAGAAGAGAAAAAACAGAACATATTTAAAGACTACAAGGATTAAGATAACGGTTATTAGAGAGACGAACATAGTTTACAGATTAAGGTGTTAGTTTAAAATTCCAATTCTACCATTGGAAGACGCAATTTTGTAATAAAATACAATATATATATATAAAGACAGAAACATAATTATAAATTCGGCAAGTTTAATAGGAGAGGTCGTGTAATTTGACAAATAAGAGGGGATATCAGTGTATATTGATGAAATCTTTTACCCTTTACTTTATTTTATTCATCAAATCATGAAAAAATTGAGACTTCTTAAGGATGGGGTGAAAGAATAGAGCAAGCATAAGGCTACATTTGGTGTGCAGGAATGGAATAGAATGCAACTTGGAATGGAATGAGAATGAGAATGGAAAGTAATGAGTATTCTCATTCCATTGTTTGGTGTGACAGAGTGAATCGTTATGGAATGGAATGATTATTACTTTGGTTGACTATCATCATTAAATTTGGAATGGAATGCTTTTTCAAAAATACCATTTTCATTGGCTTACATTACTTTTTAATAAAATCAATCTAATTAATATTGTGACGATGAATTATGTGGAATGTTATAAGATGCCCCCATTGAAAAAAATTAAGAAAAACCTTAAAATAAAATAAAATATTATTTTTAATGAGATATTAATCTTAATAAATGACTGCAAAAAGGAAAATATTTGAATCCCAAAAAGACACAAGCACAAAATCGTAGCCACTTCCCAGCCCTATGGTCACAATAGTCTTCTAGAATTGGCTTTCAATCTTGGACATATTCAAGTTTTACAACTAGATCAATCCACCATAATTGAAGACACAAATAAATTTGTCAGTGCAATTTTATCCAAAAAAAGGGGTTGAATACTTAACCTAAGAAGATAATGTAAAGGCTAAAAAATTATATATATATATATATATATATATATATCTTTAATGATATATCAATCTGTAATTTTTTGTCAATGGCAGCCCTGGGTATATTCAGAAGAGAGGGAGGTGAAAGACCTTTACCACATCTAATAAAGAAGCTCGAGAAACTTGAAAAATTGAATGTGAAAGATTTTTTGTCTATGCGAAAGATTTTTGCCTTATTGGAATGTGATGAAGGACTTATTGAGAATATTACAAAAATATTTAATATTACTATGGAATGGAATGGCCATTCCATAGGTTTAGTAATGAAATTGATTTTCATTCCCTGGAATGGTCATTCCATTCCATTCTTGCACACCAAATAAATGAATGATTGGAATGGACATTCCATTCCATTCCTGCACACCAAACGTAGCATAAGGGTACAATGCACAAACAAATCTTTGATGTTAGGAAGGTTTTGGATTCTATTCAAACTAAACTCCAATACGAGCCTTTTAATGATCGTCTTGTGCGGGCTAAGAAGAGTGCAGTTGTTGATTTAGAGAATTTGCTTACCCTAGAGGAGATGGTTTGGGCACAGAAGTCTAGAGTGACTTGGTTGAAGGAGAATGATGAATGTACCTACTTCCATCATAAGGTTAAACAGAGAATGAATTATAATTCAATCACATCTTTGCAGCACCTTGATGGATCTTATTATGAGAACCCTAAAATTATTGGTTGGTGCAATATTACCATAGTCTTTATTCTAGAACCTTCTCCTGTTTTTGCTGACCTTCTTCCTCCAAGAAATACCCTATGTGCCATGGGAAAGGATATGTTTGAAATGGATGTGGAAGGCAGTTTTGATGGCCTTGAGATCTGATAAAGCTCCTAGGGTAGATGGGAATCCTTCTAGTTTTTTTTCAAGGATTATGGCATGTGGTGGGTGATGATGGGGCGCAGTTGCCACAACTTGACCTTTAATTTTTTTAAATTTTATATGAAAAGATTTTTATATTTGTATAATTGTCCCTTTTAAAATTTGACAGTGCACATATTTATACTATATATATATCTATAACCAAAAGCCCATTCACGGTTTTACACAAAAAAAAAAAAAAACAAAGGAATATAATCATGACACAATTGTAAATATATATAATATATCTATCTATCAATTTATCACAAAATATGATATTTTTTCCACTTTCCTAAAATATTATATTATTTCCCACTTTCCAAAAAAAAAAAAGCATTTCATCAAGATATTTTATCACACTTTTGACTTTACCACAAACAAATGGATTGTTTCCATCACATTTTTAGTTTTCAACATTTTCCATAATCTAAACAAAGCAAGCGGAGCAACTATTTTGTGACGGCCTGAATTTCAAAGAACCTGGTGCGTCAGTAAGTAACCCGAAAATTGATCCGATAATGAAACCCAAATGCGGAACCAAGAAAAAGAGAAGGGGTTTCTAGAGATGGACGCCACCTCTAAGACTCTAAAGTGACTTTCTAAGAAGTTACGAAACTCAAAAAGAAAAAAATGCAGAAGTTAGAGTTTAAAATGGACAAGGTATTAAACTAGGGGTAAAGTGGTCATTTTAAACAGAAATGGATGCTACTGTGCATACCATTGGATAGACAATGAAATTTGTTTTAATAAATTTAGATTAAAAAATCACTTGATTTGGAGTTAGAATGAAGAAGATATGAATTTTCGAAGTTTACAAAAAGTTGCCAAAAATGAGCTCAGGTACGATCGATCGTAAATGGTTAGGATCGATTGTAAGCGGCTGGGCTGCAAGCTATGATTTTTCGAAAATGCATGATTTTCATGGCTAAAACGGGCTTTTTGGAAAAAGTTAGTGAAGAAAGCTCCCCTAAAAATGAGTCCTCTGATCAACCATGGTCCAAACCAAGAATACAAAAGTAACGTAAAATGACCTAAATGCCCCCAAGATTATGCTATGTCAAAGAGATAAAAATATGTTGTAAAATGACATACATTCCATACATAAAAAGTGTTTAGCTCTTGGCCTCATTACATACAAGTTAAAGTAGTATCAAAATAGAGTACTTAAGTACATGTTACACATCCAAAAGAAAGCAAGGCATGCTTCTAAATACATTACACATTGTTAACCTCAAAAGATAACTATATCATGTTAACACTTGCATACCAAAATATACAAAAAGATGTCCAATTGAAACACAAGCCAAGCTAGGGATGTTGTGCATCCAAAAAGAGTGTCTCGTTGCTTAAAAAGAAAATATCAAATAGGGTGAGTAATCGAGTTACTCCATAGGATGATGCATATGCATATACCCTAAAGTTTCAATGGTTTTTGTAAGTGTAATATAAACCAAACACATGTGGATCATGCTTCCTAACGTCTGGTTTCAAAGGGGAAGATAAGGGATCATCCTAAGCTATATTTAAAACATTTTTGAAAGCAATCCACAATAAGCAACTCAATTAAAACTACTTACGATTGTCAACTTGAAATCAAATGCGAAATCAACCAATAGGAATATACTTGCAAGAACAACTACCACAAAGCTAGTAGGATAACAAAGTTTACACCACTCCAAGAACTATAACTCAACCCACACATAGACTCCCCTATGATGTAATGACGTAACTCACGCATGTGACTCCATGATGGTGTTATGCTGTAAATCACATCCGATTAAAATGATTGGTACATTTCCGAACCTGTGTGAATAGGGAATTTCATCCCTTGGACTCGATGTCCACTTCTCAAGTTTGGATAGCTTCTATCCTTCAATCATGTTATGCATGTTGTACACACACAACTTATAACCTCATGAACTTCATGAACGAAATGATGACCACTATGCTCCTAAGGCAAAAGTGGCACACACACACACACCATGATTCACTCACATAGAAAATATATCAATAAGCTCACAATACTAAAACAATATAGACTACTCAATAGTCATTCAATCAAGTCCCTAATTTGTACACACTTATTTTAACATTATATTATTCACATAAAGGATTTAATCATGCTAAATCTTCAAAACTACAATGGCATTTGCAATTACAAGTTCAAAATGTGAATGAAATTAAGCTACTACAATATTGTCAACATAGGAAATCCATTCATGCTAATATATAGTGAGATTCAAATCCTTGATTACACAACAACATAGTATCAAATTCACAAATAAATCATTTGCAAGAATAATATAAAAATCCCATAGTTACACAATAAATAAATCACTAGATTTTAATTCTTCACCAAATGAAATAATATATATATATATAGATCACATATAAACCTTAAACAATATGAAACCCTAGGTTAGTTACATACAAGATTCATTTATATGCAACCTTAGAATTTAAATAACATGCATACAATGTATATTAACCCCAAATAACACATTAAAACACTAAGGATATAAACATAAGACACCCCTACCTCACTAGAGAATTGTATCTCTAGAAACCTCAAAGAAATGGAAGCAAAATGAAAATCAAAGGTAAGGTGTGGTGGACAAGAGTGTGAGGAACCTATTGTCTTCCAAGTGCAAGACCCAAAGGTAAGGGGAAGAGGCTTGAAATCAAGCTATGGAGGCTAGGTTTCTAAGGCTTCAATGGTGTTTTTAGGTGAGAGATGAGGAAGACAACACTTTCTCTAGATTTTCCACTAAGGAAATGAAATGGTTAGTCATATAAACTAAACTAACACTACCTCTCTCTCTCACACACACATTACACCCCTCCACTTGTCATGATCTTAGGCCCCCCCACAAGGTTAAATCTATACCCTACACTTGTCAAAATCCTAAGCTTCCAAGTTTTCCACCCAAAAAGTCAACATGTGGTCCAAGGAAAGTGTGACAC